TTTGAAATGTCTTCTATAATATATGCACATAAACACTGCAAAATGACTTCATCTGCTCCTCTCCCTCCCGTCCCTTACTCCCTCCAGATCCCATGGTCTTAAAGAAGGAGCTGTTTGGTTACTTTTTAAAGAAAAGCTCCTATAAAGGCTGCCTTGGGTTAGCTTCAGGACAGTGTGAACTTCTAAACTTGCAGAGCCGGGCAAAGAGGGCTGAAGAATGAAGCCACAGGCAAAATCCATCCTTTCCCTCCAGTTGGGCGCCCGGATGCCCAGGGCTGCCACAGCAGGAGAGCCGCCCGAGGGCAGTGGGCATCCACCACCAAGGAGGAGGACTCTCCTACCGGGATCTGGTTTTTGTCTTTCTCACTTAATACTGACTCCCCTACGAAACTCCACGTGTGCGCTCTAAGGCGAGCTGCCTCCTCTGCTGTCCTCATCCGGACCCTCTGCCGGCTCACGCCCTCCAACCACCCTCTCTTTTCTGCTTCTGCCTCCCTTTACCCATCAAGATGCCACCTCCTCAAAGGAGACTTTCCTGATGCCCCCGCAACCAGATGAGATTTCTCTTTTTCACTGCATCTTTAGAACTCTGTGTTAGCATCTTTCTTCTTAACATTTAATGCGTTCTGCCTCGTGTTATGGTAATCTGAGCATCTCCCCGATCCTTTTTCTTTACGGTGTTTGCTCATCTTTACTTCTTCCGTGGTTCTCAGCCCCTATCGATGAGGATAAAAGCATGTGCAACTCTAGTTGTGTCCTGTCCCCTTGCTGGTCACTGGTCGGACATGTCCATCTGGAGTTCCCTGCCATTCAGAGTTGAATTCATCACCTCCTTTCCACATGCGGTGTTTACGTCTCTTCTGTCCACTCTAGCAGCATCTATGTCGCCCTTCAACACATACTGATTGAGTGTCTGTGGAAGTGAGCTGGATGCTTAGCCCTCCATCTCCCAAGGTGCTTCTCGGTGCAGCCTAGTTGACCCTCACCATGTGCCACTGTGTGTGTGTGTGTGTGTGTGTGCATGCGTGTGCACATGCATGCATGCACCTTGTTATGGCAAGGTTCCAAGGTCATAAAAATAGGCACCTGTGCTAACCTGTGTCTTGCAAAACATGAATACAATAATTATTTGCTGACTGATCCTAATAAGGAATTTTTGCTTCACCTGACAGACACCTGTAAAAGCTATCAATTTCCTGTCAAAATAGTCTGAATTCCTCAGGCATTTTTCCGAGTCCTCCATAATTTGGTACCATGTATTTCCCCATATTCTTTACTTGCTCAACCTCAACCTGTAAGTTCATGAGAGCAAGTACTATGTCTTTTCTGCTAACCTCTCTATCCCTGGGGAGCTAGCAACTACCTAGCAATTCCGTGATTTTCTCCCAAATGAATTGATATAAAGTGGGGGGGGGTGTAAACTTGATTGGCTAAAGAGGATATGAATGAATTACCCTACAAGAAGTAATTGCTGACTACTTGACTGGATGATTTGAGATCTTGGTAAATCATTCAGCCTTTAGGAAAAAGAAAAAAAAAATCAAAATGTCTATTGAGCAGGTTGTACAAACATTTCTAATCTTAAACTCACATGGATGGCAACAGAATCCATGAAAATGTCACCTTGGGGTTAAAAATAATCTCAACTGAAAGGTGACTATTAATCTCTAAAAATTCCTAGAGTTGTCATTCAAATTAAGGCATGGTTTTAAGGACTGTAAGAGAGGAACAGTCTCCCTCAGAAGTTCTGGATCTTAAGGAAAAGAGGACAGAGTAGAGAGGCTCGCAGAGGTGTGCGTGGGAACAGAAAGTGATGGGGGACCAGGCAATAGACCCATGAAGGACAGAACAGGCAAGGAGAGGGGTGAGGAGGGGACCCCCAGGTGGAGAGGCAAGGGCAACTCATAGCCAGAGGAATCAAGAATCTTGCCTAGAAGGACATTTTCTACAAAGAGCTCCAAGAAGGACATCCATAGGAGGGTCAGGGTGGGGAGAGCTCAGGAAGTGGTGCATTCAGAAGAAAGCTGGGCTGCTTCTTTCCCTTTGAAAACAATAGCAAAAGATACAATAGATGAAAACCCACACCAGAGCTAAGCAGGATGCTCTATACCCTGACCGCTCCTCACCACACACATCCAGGTTGCTCCAGATTCCCACTTTCTGACTTTGGCTCCAAGCTGCTCCCCCGGCCCCTAATAAAGGATGGAGGTGTCATCATTTCCAACCTCAGCAGCTGTCTGCATTCCATTAGCACCGATCCAGCTGCTGCTAACAAAACACCCTGGGACTCGCACACTCAAGACTCCCTGTGCCCACGCACATCCAAGTCCAGCATCTTACACAGCACAAGTAAGATGAACACGGTTCTTGGCAGAAATAAGGAAATAGTGAATTCACTTCACCTCATTAAGGTAAGTGGTGACAGGGACTGAACAGAAAAGCGGAGGGAGAGGGAGAGACGATACCAAGATAGAAAAGACACCAAGAGCTGGATGTCTCAGCTGGCACTTCTCAGACTGCTGTGGTGCCTGGCCAGGGCCCAGGAGGGCTTCTCATGCTGGCTTCTCCCCATCTCACTTTCGGTAGTTTGTGCCACAGTCTCGCTCTTCAGCCAACAGTCCGATATGACCATGGCAGTCACACGGCGATATCCTCGCTCCTTGGTACCTGGTGGCTGTTGTGTTCAAATGTTTCAGTTCCTGTGCAGTCCTGTGTTCAAGGAGTCTTTGAGTGACCTCCCTGTCTACATCAATAATCTTTGTTTAGTACAGTGTCAAGATGCAGCAGGTGCACCACAAATACTTCCGATGAAAGTGATGGCTCTGGGATGGGGAGCTGATGGTGGTTTTCTGTGCATATCCCACCGTAGATCAATATTTCAGATCTTAATTTGGGGCCATATGCTGTCTGTGGTTTCATAAGGCCACTGGAGAGAACCAGAACTGTGTGACATGGGTCTGGCCAAGACTCCAGTGTCCTCCTCCCTGCCTTGTTTCTCTCTGGGAATACCTGATCTCGGGAATCTCGCTTCCAGGCTGTGGAGTCAGTATAGCAAACCTTTCCCTGCTTCTAAAGCTAGGCAAAGTCTAGAGGAGCTGCCCGCTGGTTCCGAGATGCCCTGAGCCTATAGGATCAGACGGCACACAGCTGGCTCCACAAGAGAAAAGCAGCATTTCTGTGGCTGAAAGAGGCCACGAGCCACCCCTGAGAACCCGCTGTCAGGTCAGGGTTCCCCCACTTAGCCCCATCAAGGGGAAGCCAGTTCAAGTTCACAGCATGCAGGTCTAAAGCCACAGGGCAAATGCAGGCCGATGTCCTCTGAGACCGACAAGGCTGGCATTGGTCCCCACTGTGCAGGCTCAGAGAGAAAGCAGACACGAAAATGGAAATCAGAGCTGGCGGTGGCCTGGCTTTAGACCCTTCTCAACCTTACCGCTGTAAACAGGCCAGGGCAGGAGCTGCTCAGATTATCCCGCAAGCCACCTCTCCAGTTACTGCCCTGAGCCCCCACCCAGCCTCGGTGGTCCTGTCACAGGAGTCTCACCTCCCTTCTGACCTGTCCCTGAGGCCTCGGCCTCTGTCCTAGAAGCCCTGAGAAGCCGTGGGTCGGAAAGTGGTAAAGAACAGTGGAGAGCTGCTCTGCAGACCCAGAGTGCATTGCAATCAGGGACAGCTCTCTCTGTCCCAGTGAGGGGAGCCGGAAAGCGCTTCTCCTACCTCCTAGCAGTGTGACCTGAACAAAGGCCTCCCCGCCCTCTCCTCATCCCGGTGCCTCATCCCCTTGGTACGATGATGGGGTAACAACATCTCCACCACTGGGCCGCTGTGACAGATGCGGCTAGGCCCGGGAATTGTGAGGAGAGGGCCAGCCACACACAAGAGCTTGATGTCTGCTGCTGCTGCTGGGTGGGAGGGGGCAGGGAGGGAGGACACGGACACTTCCGGCTACTGAGTGCTGGGAGCTGACACACACCACAGCCTTTGTCCTCACCACAGCCAACAATGCCTACAGTCCCACTCCTAGGAAGCTGGCCAGCAGGAGCTGAATCCAGGTTCACATCCCCAGAATCAAACTCCAGCACTGCCACTAAACCACAGCCAGTACTCCAGGCCAAGCGGAACTGTGGTTTGCTGGCCTCACTTGGCCTTTGACCTGCAGCTGTCAGCTGGACCAGATGGGGTCCTGTGTGTTTTGTTTTATTTTCGGTTTTTTTTTTTTTTTTTG